CATTATATTATGAGTCATTTATTTTTTTAAATCCTTGAACAGGTTGATTTTATTTTTGTAAATGATACATTTTCATTATACATACTATTATTTATAACGTCAAACATTTTGAAGTAACGACGTTATCAGTATTTTTTTAAATGACAACTAACATTTTTGTTCAGTGTTTTTGGTAACAAAATTGTTGGTTGGCATTACAAAAAATTAATAATCACGTCATTACTCAAAATTCAATGACGCTACAATACTGTCAAAATGTAGTATTTATAAAAATAAAATCGACACGTTTGAAGGTTTTTTGAAAAACGACCCATAACAAAAATATGAATTGGTGTGTTACTTTTGGTTTTTGTGTTTTTTTTTTTTGGTAAAACAGAGTAACACTGATAATACTGATAAACACTTTAAATATACAGGGTGGCCCAATGAAAACGAGCCACCCCAAAACAACAAAATTGACCTGTTTCGGCGTTTTTGCAAAGTCTGTTTAGTTTTTGAAATATTCGAGGTGTCTCGTTTTCATTGCGCTACCCAGTATTATGATAAAAGTGAAGACGAAACCATATAAAAATAATAAGTAAAATTTTCATAAATAATACAAAATAAAAAGTAGTAGACAAAACTTAAAAAACAGTAAAATGTCCTTGTTTCGATGTAGTTGTAATTTTATCGTTTTTGTTTGCATTTTACTTACTTAATGATTTTAAAAGTCGTAGTAAATGTTTAAAATCAAGCATAGATGTGTTGCTTTCCCTGAAAAACAAAATTATTGTTCTTTTACACAAGTACTTTTGCGTCTGCTAACTGTAAACTTTAATTTCAGCTTTGTTTTAGATAAAATGGTTTATGTTTATAATTTTGACCAGTGGTGTGTTTCTCATAACATTTTCCGATTTTTTCAAATTTAAAAGTAATCCACGTTCTGTGTTTCACCTACAAGAAAATGAAGAAAAAAATCGCACAAATCAAAAGCGTTTATTAAGTATTAAAAATAAATTAATAGTTCCAGGTACAATATTTAAAGTTTAATAAAAAATAAGCCAATTGTCTTTGCAGGGACCAAATGGTGTGGTATTGGAGATGTTGCGATTTCATACCACGATTTAGGTTTTTTCAAAGAAACTGATCTTTGCTGCAGAGAACATGACTCTTGCTTGGAATATATTTCCGTAAAAGATTCGTTGCATGGAATCACCAACAAAAATCTTTTCACTGTTTCACATTGTAACTGTGATGAAAAATTTAGGAAGTGTTTAAAAACTGGAGGCAATTTTTTAAGTGAACTTTTAGGATATGGTTATTTCACTATTATAGGACCGCAGTGTTTTAGGGAAGATTACCCCATAGTCAGATGTAAAAAACACGTTTATGTCCAACCGACGAGTAAAAAACGGTAATTTATATAAATATATTTTGAAATTTGCGACATGTGAAATGTTTTAGTGCAATTAAAAGATGTTTGGAGTATAACCTAAATGAAAGTTTACCAAAGAAATATCAATTATTTGACAATCGGCCTTTTTAAATCCCTATCTAATAATTAGTTTGTGATATTTTATATTTCGCTACTAGAAATAAAATTAAATTTTTTTGTAAATCATGTTGCGGGATAAAATAGATTACAATATTTTGCTCTCTACACAAAAATAAATAAGCAAAAGTGTGTAGTTGTTATGTTGAAAAGTAAACCACTAAAATCTATTGTTTTGTTTACAGTTTGTTACTTTATTTTCATATTCCACAGTTTTATTGTTAAATAAACCAACAAAAAATGGGCAATTAGTGAGTTTTTTGGTAGTAAAGAATACAAAAGTGTTAATTTTTCCCGAGAAGAGTCTTTTATTTTTAAAAAAAGCACTTCTAGTGTTTATTTCAGGTGAAAAACTATTTTGGTGAAAATTTTTGGGGTATTTATGGAATACCGGTCACATTTTTGATCCACGCCAGGTATCCAAAAGTCTTGGTATACCCCGATGGGTCAATAGCTTCGCACCCATTATCACTGAAGAAACTTGAGATACCGACATGCTCAGCGTGTCGATCATTCAAAACATATCGCACCAATGGTGTTCCAAGATCACCCTTCAAATTAATGTTTTAAACAAAAATATAAAAATCTGTTAACATACCAAACACGTTCCTTCGTTATATTCTCCTCCAACACAAAACATATTTTCAGCAATTTGATTCCCATAAGTCGCTTTGCATTCATTGTCAGTTAAAGTAATGACATGGACGTAGTTGAGGTGATCGACAGGTCCAGGATGATCTAAAACACAAACCAATAAAATGACTCAAAACTATCGAAACAGAAGTGTTACAATCGTCGGTTTGGCCCCAACCAATTGACGTGACATTAGCATCGTGTTGAAGGTCAGTTGATGGTAGAAAAATTGAGGAAATGTAGTCTAAAATAAAAAATACAAACAACTTTTCACCAGAATTGTGATTTACCGCTAAATAGAACCGGCTCCTCGAGTTGGATTAATCCGACGTTATTTTTCAAAGTCAATTCTTCAAAATCCGGATGCAAAACCGATGTGTTCGCAGTGAGGGTAAGTCTGTTCACATCAGCAGATTTCAGGGTGTTTGATCCCACTTGAATCGTGAAGCGAACCGCCCTGAAAATCGTTTAGATTCATGAAAGTTGCAAATAATTCACACTTTTTATTTTTTATTTTTTTTTAACTTACCCATTGACACAATGACCTGCAGTTAAAATCCACTGATTACTGATAAGAGCACCCCCACAGAAATATCTGCCGACATCTGTGTCAGTGTAAATGGCCGCTGCAAAGGGAAATTGACCAGCCCTTGCACCTGATCCTCCAATGATACGTGGAGCTTAAAAAATTAAATTAATGTGTTTCTTGAAAAAAATAATAGAGAGTTTTACCGAATTTTGGATCAATGTTGCTTCCCTGTAAATGAAAACTATCAATTTTGAAACTTAACATTCAATTTTTGTACCTTTCCCAACAAAGTCCACGTTGAAACAATAAAAAGAAACACGAAAAATTTCATTTTGGGACCGATTTTTAATTGTGTTAAAGTAGAAAATAAAATTCGTTTAGTTCACATTTATATTTTTAAGACAATACGGTTATCTAATCATTTAATTAATGATTGATTTATGACAGGGCTCCTGTAGCAGGAATTAGAAGATTATTTTTAAGACGTCCTGTATAAACTAATCCGATAGAATCGTCATTTAATAACATAATTAATTTATTACCATTTGTATTAATCGGTAAATAAAATAACCAACAACAAGAACATCTTTGTTTTGTCAAGATGAGGGTCTTTTTGCTAATTTTTTTGAGTCAAAGTTCTATTTCAGCAACAAATCTAAAAATAATTGGAGGTGATGACGCCCTAGCTGGCCAATTTCCCTTTGCAGCCGCAATTTACGTTCGAACCAACGATGGGACTTACTTTTGTGGAGGAACACTAATTAGTGACGAGTGGATTTTAACTGCCGGTCAATGCGTACATGAGTATGTCACAAATATGAATCCACACTTAATTAATGCATGTTTTAGGGCTGTTTCATTTACGATTCAGTTAGGATCGTCTACTTTAGCAGGAAATGATCCAAATCGCGTCAAAGTCTCAACAAGTGAATCAGTGATTCATCCAAATTTTGATCCAATTAGTTTGCAAAACGACATCGGACTCATCAAACTTCGACTACCTGTCGAATATAACGGTAAAACTGTTAAATTCGAGTCAATTTTTGCTAATTCTTGTTAGATTATGTTCGGCAAATTCGCTTTTTGCCAACGTTTAGATTGCAAGATGGGGCATCTACGATTGCTATTGGTTGGGGACAGATTAGTGATGGTTAGTGGGTTTTTTTCAGATTTAAGTAAAACAAAATGTACATTTTTAGATAATTCTGGTCTTTCCAATGTTCTTCAACGTGTCAATTTGACTACTATTTCCACAGATGAGTGCAAATTAACATATGGTGGGCAAATTACCGAAGATATGGTTTGTGTTAATGGTAATTACAATGAAGGGAGTTGTACTGTAAGTTCAAACAGTTTTTTGTTCCTTGCTAAATTGTGGTTTAGGGTGATATGGGTAGTCCACTGCTACAGCATGTGGGCAGAGGGTATTATTTAGTTGTTGGAGTTGCGAGTTTTATTAGTGGAAATGGGTGTGAAAGTACAGACCCATCGGGGTATACCAGAACTTTCAGTTACATCAACTGGGTCAAAAATATTACAAATATTTAACAAATATGCCTAACCAGAAGTACTAAAAGCTACATTAGAAACATAAACATAATTAATTTTTTGAGATTGTACACGACAGTAAAACTTGTAGAATAATTCTATAATGCTTATTTAAAAATAATTTATTTAATGCATACAGTATTACAATATAGAAAATAAAGAATATGTAATATTTTTATTAATTCTAATTACCAGTACTGGCACAAATTTTTAAAAGTTTCTTTGGAGTTAGATTACCTTGATAAACCTCATTTAAAGACCTAAAATGATTATAAAACTCTCTTTGATTTGTTATTGTACAAATATTGACCACTTACCATGGTACACCTGTTCCTTCGCCTACACGATATATAACTCCAACATTTTCGTCGTCAAGCTTAACAACAAATAATGGTCGCTCGTTACAAAAAACTAATTCGTTTACAATTTCAGATTTTATTCCTTTTGACAATAGTAATTTAAAAAACTAGAAAAATACTAAATTCAAGAAGATAAAAGCGCAATAATTTAGACTTACTGAAATTGCCATGGATTTTTCTTGGGCAACAATTAAGACGTCAACACCTCGTGTGACGTTATTGCATTTTAACAACTTTAAAATAGTTTCAACATTAAAACTTATCTCAACGGCAGACATTGCAAAAGCACAATTTTGATTTTTCTTCTTTATTTTGTTACATCTTTGGATTAAAGAATCAAATCCACCACCCGTTGCAACAATTGATTGTTGGTCAACTGATTCAAAGTGCATTATTTTAAACATCATTCCTGTTGAGTACCTTTCACTTATGAGAAGCGGACAAACAACAATATTTAACTTCTGAAATTAACACAATTAAAAAAAAAGTTGCTAGAAGTGAATCACTTACTTACAGGTTCAAATTTGTTTGCATTTGCAATGACAGTCCGCAGCTGCTTAAATGCTGTTAAAAGAACATTTGTGTCAATTTTTTCAAAAACTTCTTTACTATTGTTGACTGCCATTAACTTCAATAAGTAGTTCTCGGCTGCCCCAACATGAAAATAACTTGCAAGTTTTGAACAAAAAATACGCACTTCAGTTTCCAGCTCCACATCTGTATTAATTCGCGGACCTCCACCTGTATACTATTACTTTCTTGGTCATTTTACCATTTGGAAAAGTAAAAAACTCACTTCAGCATCTTTCATTTGATTAATAAAAGCTGCGACTTTTCTGTATGACATTTTACAATGCTTCAAAATTGTTGAAAATATGAGTCGATGATTAATGATATAGTACAGATACCCGGGTTGTAGATTTCCGTCTAACACTTCTTTCCCAAGATACAACATTTCGGATTCTACAACATGATCGTTTTTTATAGGACTGATCACTTGAAAAACACATTCTTGTATTTCAGTTGGTGAGAAAAAACCTTCCCTGAACACTTTGTCTACAGAAAATCTTCTCAATTTTTTTACGTTATTTGTTGCCACATAATGTGAAAATGTAATTCTGAAAAAATTACCAAATAAATTGAAAACACTAGGTGCTAAATTTTCGTACGTAGAGGTATTGGATAGAGAAATCGAATTTCCTCGTGTATTCAGTAAATTAATTAAATAATCAGAAGAGTTATATGTCGGTGGTATGAACTGAGGTAAAGTAATATTATGTCCTCCATGTAACTCAAAAATCTTAAAGGTTATAAAATACGAGTATGTTATAAGACGCATTACCAAAGTACATACCTTAATGGCTTGGCTTATAAAGAATGCCAATTCATCTTTTTTAGCACAAACACTCATTAATGTCTTTTCGAAGTTTTTATAATGTTGATAAGGAGTCCTCCTGTTTTGTTGAATCATTTCTTTCATTTCTTCATCGGACTTGTTTGAATTCAATATTTTTATTATGTCATCACAAGTAGGTCTTTCGATAACATTTGCGTGTAAAAGATTCCTTAAATTTTCAAACAAAAAAACAATATGGTACTACTTGTACATACGTCGAAATACACTCATACCTTATAAGAAACTTTTTCTTAGAGTTACTGGTATTAAAATTAAGTCCCCGTAAATATTTCTTTGTTATAGGAAATATTTTAAACTTTTCCATCACAGTCATGGGCTTGGAACACATTTCAAAATATATTACACCTAAAATAAAAATTTAGACACTAACTTGTTATGTGTTTGCAATTAAACTGTAAATATCAGCCTTGATATTGAACGATGTTCCGGTACGTAGCTCTGGAGCTATGTAAATGGAAGTACCACACACACCAGTTAAAGATCCACAAGGCAATTCATTTTCTTAAAATAAATAAAAATTAAGATTCGATTATTTTTAGTGATTACCATCACCTTGTAGTGGTTCCAGTTTATTATCTAATGAAATTTGTTTTGATAAACCAAAATCTCCAATTTTAATAACATCTTCCGAAGTTAAAAAAATATTTTCTGGCTTTAAATCTCGATGAACGATATTATATTTGTGTATGTATGACAAACCTTCACAAATTTCTCGAAAATATTTAATTAATTTGTTTTCATCTTTATAGAGATCTTTGTCGATTGCTCGTCTTAAAGTATTATTTTCGCACAACTCCATTTGGATACATAGATATTTAACTTCCTTGTGAACATATTCTGACTGGAAAACAATAAAACTGTCTTCGCTATCCGAGTCTTCTTCCTCTCTTTCCGAAAAATCGTTTTCTTCGTAAATATCCAAGTCGGCAAATTCACCCTCATTATCTTTACTAATGAAACCCTTTTTGGATAATCTGTGTATTTCTGAGCTTAAAGTCTGAAAATACGTAAACAGTGCAATGGAAATTTAACAAAATTTTTCACATACTTCATCACTTTCAGAACACAACTTCTTATATTCATCCAGCGGAATTTTTGCGGTCTCAATCCAGGAATTGTAGTACCTCACAATATTATTATGATTAAGTTGGGACAACACATTTGCTTCTCTTCTGTTCGTTTTTATGTCCTTCAAGTTGGATGCAAATTTAATTATTTTTATCGCAAATTCGTTATCATCACATTTCCGTCTAGCCTAGAGTTTATTTTGTGATCTGAGTAAGCAAAACAAAATTATTAAAAGTTATTACCTTGATAATTTGGCCAAATCCTCCTCGACCCAGTGATTCCCCGACTACGAAATCATTATCCAATTTCGTTACATAATTGGACCGATTTGAAATCGCACGAAGCAGCATTTTTGACCACTTTTGACGCAACTAAGGGCATAACTGATTTGCTTCATCTATCTACTCGAAGATTACACATTATATCCACACAAAATTATTATATAAATCTTTTGTTGCTAAAGTGAGCAATCGATAAATTGTTTCACTGTTATCAGTTATCACTGTTATCATATTACACATATTATTTTTGAACGTTGTTTCATTTAAACCTTTCTGTTTACAACCGTTTCACCACAAAACACAATTAATACTAAAATAGCAGCTAAAAATGCTAAGTTTGCAGCTGCGCCCTGGTATTCTTACTCAGGTCAGGTTCTTATCATAGGTACTATGTTGCAAGTGATGACTCACTTTTTATCACTAATTGAAAACACCATTCTTTAGATAATGATTGATTTGGAACAATTATATCAAAAAATAAACACCGACAGTTTACAAAAATAATTTTATTAAAATAAAAATCTTCAAAAAATGAAAATATTCATAAAAATATCGCAATATAATAACTCAACTATTGGGTATCTCGCTTTCACCCTTAACATCTTCATCCGGATTTGAATCCTCCTGTAAAATGTTCAATCCTGGATGCATCTCAATCATATGTCTCGACTTCAAATGCCTATCCAGATCCCGCCGTCTCACCAATATCTTCCCGCACAAATCACACCTAAACAAACCCAACCAATTACCCAATAAACTAATAGTGCTATTCTGTAAAAAAAATACTTGCTATAGCGCTATAACTCTTTAAGCTATCGACTATAAGTAAAAATAGAATTCTCTAAGGAAATATTTGTCAATACCTAAAATTCTATAAGCTTAAAGTCTCTATAAAATTATGGCGAAAAAATTGGTAACCGTAAAGACTTATAGTCTCTATAACGATATATTGTCATAGTAACAATGTCAATCCTCAATAATTTATTATAAATACTTCTCTCTGTTTTTCGCCAATAATTCTAATTTTTGTTCTCCTATAATTATTGGTATCGTGTAAACTTAATAATAGGTACATAGTTCAGTGATGGATCGTAACAATTTTGCACTAATTGCAATATATTTATTGTTAAATGAAGAAGAAAGAACGTTGTGGACAAAAATGAGCTTCTTACGACAAAAACTTTAATAAAAAAGAGTGTCTATTCAGAAAAAAGTAATTTTGCAAAAGATACAAGCAGGTTTTATGAAAATCGGCAAAAAATTTTGTTGAAATTTTATTGAAATGAACTCAAAGTGGATGCATTTTACAAATTCTCCTTCGGCATTAGTTTCAAAATTGTCACTTTTTCAACTCGTTCTTCAAACACAATGCAAGCAGATCTACTAATTTAATTGCGTTCTTTCTCTTTGATGTTTATGTTGCATTCTCATCAATTTCTTACTAAAAATTAGAGAATGGTTAGCAAACCTGCATTACAAATTGAGTCTAAATTTTAGCGGTAATCTTTTTCTGACTTCTGCTTGCACACTTTTCGTCTTCAAATTTCCAAAAACTGTTTGCGATACACAATTTGTCTCCTTTTTGGTGTTTTCATTTCTAAATTTTTTAGACGATTTTTTTGCTAACGTTTAATGACATTTTTTTTATTAAATCAAAAACTGGAACTGCCAACTTCCTTTGTTAAAATTACCACAAATGAATTTATTAGGAACTATCTGACATTTTCATTTAATAAAAAAACAGACTTTAGGGTGATTACAGCGCTATTACTCGAATGTTACAGACGCTTAGAGAATATCAATTTTGATACGAATCTATAGACTTTAAAAAAATTATACAGGGGGTTCCGTTTTTATTGTTAAAAATTTAAACAGGTGATAGGATATTCAATTCTAAGACAAAAGTTTCCTATAAACATGTATCGAAAAATGCTTGGTAAGGGAGCTACACCCCCTGAAAGGGGGCTAATAGTTTTTTGCTAATATTTTAGAAACCATTTATGATAAAATTACAAAATTTGGTACAGATGATAACCTTTATACACCTAAACGAATTCAAACATCAAATGTCGAAATTTTTAATCAGGGGCGTCCGAAACTGGTGGGGTTTAGGGTAAAAAAATATCCTATCTATTTTGGCTCTAGTTTCTTTAGTTATGCATTGACCAAAATGGTGGTCACTTTGAACAACTCCTTTAGATTTAGGCAAATTCATTTAATTAATGTTATTATTATTACTGTAATGTAATGTTAATTAGTCGAGGTTGATTAAAAAATATGAATTTCTTGCTTTTATTATTCTGTAAATTCTGATTTATTTCAATGTTGTATTGGTGTGTAACATAAATTTTAAATTAATTTTATTCAAAAACAATAAGTCGTTACGACACAAGACAGACTTTTCTGTGATCCAACTTAAGATTTTGTTGCTGAAAGTACCGAGAAACTAAAGCCAAAATAAATAAGGTATTTTTTTTACCCTAAACTCCCCCTGTTTCGTACGCCCCTGATTAAAAATTTTGACATTTGATGTTTGAATTCGTTTAGGTGTATAAAGGTTATCAGCTGTATCAAATTTTGTAATTTTATCTTGAATAGTTTCTGAAATATTAGCAAAAAGATATTAGCCCCCTTCCAGGGGATGTAGCTTTCTTACCAAGCATTTTTCGATACATGTTTATAGGAAACTTTTGTCTTAGAATTGAATATCCTATCAACTGTTTAAATTTGTAACAATAAAAACGGAACACCCTGTATATAGAGCTCTATTAGCTATAGAATATACTAACTTATAGACTGTAGCAAATTTTTAGAGAATAGTCAATAAACCACAAACAAAACTTACTTATACGGGGTGTTCCCCTCAGCATGCAACCGCACATGCTTATTCAAATTGCTTGGGTCCCCAAAAGGCCTCATACAAAACTTGCATTTCAACGGCTTGTACCCCGTGTGTGTCCTAATGTGGATCTTCAAGCCGTATTTCCGCGAGTAGCATTTTCCACAATAGAGACAAATGTGGCCTTGCTTAGACTTGCCCAAACTGCTCACCAAGGTCTCAATGTGGGCCTCATCCTCGTTCGAGGTGTGCTGCAGGAAATTGTTCTGCTCGAACGGGGCCAGCGGCCATATTTGCACATTTTCCATAATGGGAACCAAGAGATTTTCGCTGTGGGTAAAACCCTCATCTTGAAATTTTCTAAAAGGCCTAAAAGCCGAAGTTTCACTGTTGTAAGGCCTGTAGATATCTTTTTGACTAGTTTCTTGCTTGTTTTGACTGGAATTGGACATCGACAAGTCCATTGCGTTTCTCTGGCGCATTATTTGCGGCTCTGGTGATAATTTAAAATCAAAAATGTCTTGTTTTACAACGTTTTGGAGCGTGTTTTCGCGAATTGCGTTTGATAATCTCTCCCAAAGTGAAGTTATTGTGTATCGACCACATCCCAGGGAAATGTGGAGTTTTAACGGATTTGGCGATTCGTAAAGAGCTGAACATTTCGTGCAAACATACTTCTTTTGGCCTGTAAATAACATTTTGGGTAAAAAAAAGAAAAAAAAGTGTTGCGCAGCCGGTAGGATTCGAACCTACGCTCCCAGAGGGAATCTGATTTCGAGTCAGACGCCTTAACCACTCGGCCACGACTGCAAGTAATTTATGAGTTGACATACTCAAGTTATATAGGGCACACCCTTTGTTTTTGAAAATTAAAAAAAATGAAAAAAACTTTCGCATATTTACCTTGTATATTTGATGGTGTCAAAAAAGCAATTTGCAACATTGCTAGTATATCTTCTGAAAACCACAAAAGTAATTCTTGACCCGTTTCGATGGGTCTCACAGCCTGAAGGATTAATTTGGATGTTGGGACATTTTTGCTAAAACTAGTTCCTGGACGTTGGTTTGGTTGGAAACGTAGTTGAATATTGTAACTGTGACAATCGTCAGAAAGACGTAAAGCTCTAACCCAGTGGATTTTTTCAGACCAAATTTCTTTAGAATTTTTCTCGAGGTCGATAATACCAAGAGAATTCGGCTGTGCAGAAATCTGAAAAATTTAATGAAAATTGCTGAAAAAACTAAAAATTAAGAAATAACCAATTGGGAGAAAAATTTTCTTAAATAAAAGAAATTGTTAAAAGTGCAACTTGCATTTTAATTACCTAAGATTTGAGTTTTTTTATTTCATTACATTTCATTACTGTTTTTATGTTTAATAAAAACCTCATTTACTTAGTCCATTAATATTTTGTAATAAACACAACTAATAAAAAAATAGATAAAAATAAACATTTAAAAAAAACAATTACAAGAAATACAAGACAATTAGTGAAAGATCATGTTTCTCTCTATTTTTAATAAAAATTTCGTTTAATTAATCTATTATTATCTATTTTTCTCGAGGTCGATAATACCAAGAGAATTCGGGTGTGCAAAAATCTAAAAAAAATATTTTAAATTGCCAAAAAAACTAAAAATTAAAAAATAACTAAATGGGAGAAAAATTTTCTTCAAAAAAAAAAGAAGTTGTTAAAAGTGCAACTTGTATTTTAATTACCTAAGATGTGTGTTTTTTTTATTTCATTACATTTCATTACTGAAAAATTTTGTTTCTCTATATTTTTAATAAAACCCTCATTTAATTAATCCATTAATATTTTGTAATAAACACA